AGTAAACTTGGTTTGGAGGACATAGGCCCTCATTATTTGTAAATTCGTGTGAATATGAATCTTTATTCCCATAGGCCTAACACACATGCATGCCCACTGGAAATTGGGAATGTTGATCTAGACAGGTGACACATGCAAGGAGAAGGGAAACGTATTTCTAAGACATGTGCCCTTGGTAGCTCTCTGTTGGTTAGTTAGGAAGGCATAGTGAAGACATGGCTAAAGGAAAATGGCAATTCCAATATTTTGTGGCTTGTATGAATTACCAGATGACTCATAAATGTTATGGATTTGTAGTTTCAACATTCTGAGTGCATTCATGAATTTTGACCAGGTCATCACAAAGTGGAAACTCTCCTCTGGAAAAATCTAATGTACAACCCAGTCTGGCAAACACTGCATGAAAGTCAACAACTTTATGCCCTCATTTGCATTTGTGTAACTTCATTCAGTATTCAGCATGTCCTCTGCTAAGGTTCTAAACTCCAAATCTGAGGTAAACCTACCCAGCTGAATTTCCTCCCGTCTTAGCATTACAGAACATTACACCTTTAGCACTTGGTGTGGGAAGATCCTCTCTCTGTCTTTGTCTCTGTCTCTGTGTCTCTCTGTGTCTCTCTGTCTCTCTCTGTCTCTGTGTCTCTCTCTCATTCTCTCTCTGTCTCTCTTTGGTTCTGTTTCTGTGTCTCTCTGTGTGTCTCTCTGTGTCTGTCTGTCTCCCTCTGTCTCTCTGTGTGTCTCTCACTGTCTCTGTCTCTGTCTCTCATTTTCTCTGTCTCTGTCTGTCTCTGTCTGTCTCTCTGTCTCCATCTGTCTGTGTCTCTGTCTCTGTCTCTGTCTCTATCTCTGTCTCTATCTCTGTCTCTGTCTCTGTCTCTCTGTCTCTGTCTCTCTCTCTCTCTCTCTCTCTCATAGCTTTTTCCTCTCTGGCTTTGAAGTCTGCCCTTTACTCCCCAGTCCCACTGGAGTTTTCCTAGCAGAGATCCCGGAGCCAAATTGACAAGGTTGGTATACAAACTTTTCAAAGGCCTTCTTACCCCACTGGTGGCCTCATCCAGAGCTTCAAGTTTCAGATTTCTCTTCCTTTGCCTTATCAACTTCAATCAATTACTCCTAGCAAGTCAACCATTCCAAATACTCTCTGGGTTCCTGAGCTTCACCATCCTAAACTTAATTCACATTGAAGGCAAATATTACAATGACTTGATATGCTGTATTACCTATACTGACTCTCACAAACTACCTATGTTAAGTCAAAACCATAGGTAGCAAAACATAGCATAAATGTCCAGGCTCTGTGAAATCTTATTCTTAAATTATTTAAAACCGGGCATGAGAGGATAATACTTACCACATTCCAATTGTGAAGAGAGAGGATTACTACAGCCAAGTTGTGGTAGAAGAAATGAGTTTTCTATACCCAGAACTGGCCCACTTGGCTGATGCTGTAGCAGGTGCCAGCTTTGTCCCTGTAGTCTCTTAAAGGAAACACACCCTGGCTAGAAAGGAGAGTCCCCCCAAACGGGATTTATTCTCTACTCTTCCAATTCATAATTTATGGATTGTACTTCATGCAAGATGCAAGAAGCTAATAGCGTAACAAGCTACTTGTTATGTCTTAGATTTAAAATGAAATTGTATACTATAATTTCACCAACAGGGATCTCCACCTTGCTCCCTAAGCAAAGGGCTTCCTTCCTACTGACAAGAACAGAAAATGAATGAGAAAGATACATGCTGAAAAATGTTTTAAAAGAATTATAGTGAGGGGCTGGGAAGGTGGCTCAGTGGTAGAGCGCTTGCCTCGCATGTATGAAGCCCTGGGTTCCATTCCTCAGCACCACATATAAAACAGAAGTGGCGCTGTGGCTCAAGTGGTAGAGTGCTAGCCTTGAGCTGAAGAGCTGAGGGACACAGGCCTAGAGTTCAGGCCCCACAACCAAAAAAAAAAAAAAAATTATAGTGTGGGCTGGGAATGTGGCTTAGTGGTAGAGTGCTTTTGCGTAGCATGCATGAAGCCCTGGGTTCGATTCCTCAGTACCACACAAACATAAAAAGCTGGAAGTGGTGCTGTGGCTCAAGTGGTAGAGCGCTAGCCTTGAGTACAGAGAGGCTCAGGGACAGAGCCCAGGCTCTGAATTCAAGCCTCAGGATTTGGGAAAAAAAAAAAAGGATTATCGTGAACTGGGAGCAGGTGGCTCACACCTGTAATCCTAGCTACTCAGGAGGCTGAGGGATCTTGGTTCAAAGCCAGCTCAGGCAGGAGTGTCCATGCGACTCTTATCTCCAATTAACCACCAGCTCAAGTGGTAGAGCTCTAGCCTTGAGCTGAAGAGCTGAGGGATAGTGTCCAGGCCCACAGTTCAAACCCCATGACTGACAAAAAAAAAATTATATTGAAAACAGAAACTGCATATGGTAAAGTATTTATGAAATTCAGTATTGTGGAGTTATAGCCCAGAAACTCACACGCTAACTTACTTTCTAGTAGTAGCTTCTTGTTCATTTGTGGTACAATTCTTGTTGGGCAGGATAGTAGCTGACAGTTATCATGTTCGGTTTGTTGAGAGTGATATTTAAATTTAATACTAATTGATAAATGGTTAAGTTCTTGAGTTTTTAATATGCTGTATAATTCTCCTTGGTAATATGTGAATTCATTTTTATGTACTAAAAAATCATTTATCTGTCAATGTATCTGCAATGTTTTTCTACTCAGCCAACTCATATGAGAAAATGAAACCTGTAAGAATAATAGTCTATAAGGCTTTAATAAAAAAAAATGTGCACATAGAATTTGAAATTATCTGTCCCAGAACTACAGACATATACATTATATATAGTGTGCCTGTAATATAATATATACACATTATATGCACACATTATGTATATTGATATGCATGTAGTATATTTGTATGTATATATAAATATGCATACACACCAGATTAAGTATTTTATAATGTATTAGCTTTCATAGAAAATGTAAAAGAATAGCCAAATACTAGGGAAACCTCTAGATCATGATGGTATATATATATATATATATATATATATATATATATACACATTATATTTAATCCACAATGAACAAAAACCACTATGTCAGCATATATTCTTATTAATTCTGTAGACAAAAAATGTTAACTCACACACGTTGGAAGGAAAAGAAAGCATTTAAAGTTTAGGCGCTCTTTTCACATCAATTCTCTTAAAAATTTTTAAATGCTGTCTACAAATCGGTTGAGGGGTATAGGTATGTATTTGTTCTAGCTTCGTGTATTAAAAAAAATCTTAAAGCTCTATATATTCTGAGTTTGAATGTACACAGGCCAGTAAGGATCTGGAATCTTAAAATTACGCTTAAAAATATTATCTGATTTAATCATCCCCAGCGTTGCGTTTATTATAGGTGGTGAGAAGCCAGAGGTCCACACTTAAAATCTACAAGAGTGGGAGGGGAAGTTCTCAGTCTCCTCCTCTTACTCCATGGAAGCCCACCCACCGACTCCCCCGGCGCCACCCCACCGTCCCCCCTGCCCCCCTCCCCAGCCTCTGATCCATTCAGGCCTTCCTTGGGGGATGCCCTTGGTGGCCAATCAGGGCTTCCGCAGGGCTTGCGTCACGTCTCCCCCACCCCTGGCCGTGACGTCAGAGGCGATCCCAGCTCGGCCACGTGGGGTGGAGCAGAGCCGCGTTTCCGCGCCACCGCTGGAGAGTCCCATTTGGCAGCTGCGTCCCCCCCCCGCCCAGGGTGGGGAGCTGGAGGCGGGGCGGGGCCGACGGAGCGGGGCGGGGAGAGGGGAAACTGAGGCTGCAGCAGCTGGCGTTCCCCCCTCCCCCCGGGCGCTGGGTACCCGCTGAGTCCTCCGGCGGGCCGGGCGCGGCTGGAAACCGACACCTCGCCCGGTGTAACCGGACCCGGCTCGGTTTTTCAGCCTGAACGATCCTTTCAGCGCCGTGGAGCCCGGGCTGCGTTATCTTGGCTGGGGGAACCCGCTCGCTCGCTCTCACCCCCCCCCCATCCCACCCAGCCTCACACAGACCTCCTTTCAGACCCGCCCTCCGGTCCCCCACACCCCCTTCCCCAGCCGGCGCTCACGCCCAAGGTGCCGGTGTCCGTCCGCAGCGCCAGCCCGGCTCCCGCGGGCCCGAGGGCCGCCCCCACCCCACCCTGGGCTGGAAGCTCCCGACGTGTCCCCCACCTCCTACCCCACCCCACCGGCGCTGCCCCCGGCCCC